CACCTCCCTCCCCAACCGCGCACTCCCACCCCGATCTCCTTCCCCCGACTTCCTCCCCCCCACCCCGAGGCTCCACCCGACGAATACCCCATCGCCTTCGCAAGCAAGAAGCTCCTTCCTACGGGGATGAACTACCCCTCCAACGAAAAAGGAACTCCTCGTTGTGATCCACAAGTCTGGCGCCCGTACCTTGACGGGAAATACTTCACCATCTACACGGACAACACCATCGTCTCCTCTAACCTCACTAAGAAAGACATCACGCCATGCCAAGCCCGCTGGTTAGACTTCCTTCCCCAGTTCATATTCACCATTTGCCACACCCCTGACAAAAGCAACCGCGTTGCCGATGCCGTCTCTCGACGCCCCGACCACAAGCCCCCCGAGAAAGTCTACGTCACCATGACTCATATCTAACTCCTCCCATCACTCCACCACCGCTACACCCAAGGCTACCTCTCTTGCCCGGATTTCACAACTACCTACCACAAACTTCGTGACCTCGACCCAGTCCCCGACTACTCCCTTCACGACCAACTTCTTTACAACGACACCAAAGGCACTCGCCGACTTTGCATTCCGGGCTCACATGGTCTCCGTACCCAGCTTTTGGCCGAGCACCATGACGCCATGACCGCGGGACACCTCAAGTTCCAAAAAACCTTTGACACCATCTCCAGCTACTTCTACTGGCCTTCCCTACTCGCCGATGTCAAAGCATACATTCACTCATGCCCCGCGTGTTAAGTCGTCAACCCCTCGAGCCGGGCCAAACCCGGCAAGCTACAATCATTGTCTATCCCCACCCACCGGTGGCAGTCCATCTCTATGAACTTCGTGTGTGGTCTTCCCAAGACCGACCGCTGCCATGATTGCATGTACGTCATCATTTGCCGCTTGACTAAACGTGCCCATTGCATCCCAAGCAACCTCAAAATACCCCGGTCTAGCGGCACCTTCACTGTGTCAATTCTGCTGTCACTGCCGTAAATCTTGTGCTGTCGTAAAAAAGTTTGCAGCGCTTCCGCACTACTGCTGTCAAACTCAGTGCCGCTGCCGCAAAAGTTTGACAGTGCTTCCGCACTACCGCCGTAAAACTTAGTGCCGCCGCCGCAGAAATTTGGCAGCACTTCCGCACCACCGCCGTAAAACTTAGTGCCGCCGCCGCAGAAATTTGGCAGCACTTCCG